AATGAGAAAAAGAGAGAGAGAGAGAGAGAGAGAAAGGAAGAGAGAGTGTGATATATTCTTAATTATATCAATATTTTGACAAACGTTTAATCGATCTATATTTATAGTTCATAAAAACAGAGAAGTACAGGTATAGAAAAGAAAAGTTCGAGACGAATGCAGAAGAAGAGTAAAAGTGAGAGGACGAATGAGAAAGAGAAATGGAGAAAAAGAACAGGTGTGAAACAGTGAGAGAAATAAGTAATAAAGTAGATATTTATGTCACACACATCATATCTAAGAGAATATCTAAAGCATATTGTACTCTTTGAGATTGAAAGAAACTTAATAGCCATGTTTTCATTGCTTCATTTAGGTAGTTTTGTTCATTAAGTCCACACTCTAATGAGGAAACTGATTTCATATAAATGAAGTCATTTTATATAAAACAACTGATTTATAGCGAACAATGTAGAATGAAATATTTGTCATATGGTTTATATATAAAATGTAAACAAACAAGTTATTTCACATAAATTAGCTTATGCCAATGGAAACGACCAAAACTGAATTTCATTAACACAAGTACTTTAAGCTACAGTGGAAACATGATAATGTTATCTTACAGTCAATTAGCCAGACTTTATTTACTTTTACTTACATAACAAAATATTAAAATGATATCCTTAATAGATAGATTGAGAAACAAATTAAGTTATTTTTTGTCCGAACAACAAATGTTCGAATGTTATACACAAAAAAATTTGTATTCTTCAACAAAAAAACGAAAAAAGAAAGGTATGCTGCGACACACGTAATCTGAGAATACCATGCAGAATCGTCTCGGGGCACTCAAGTTACAACTATATAATATAAGCACAAACTAACTATGTCCACATCAGAAGAATATAAGTACTGCTGGACATAAAGTGGTACGATTCGATAGACCTCAATTCAGAATTGGTGGAGAATTGTCGTAAGTTATTGCAGCTGTGACTGGTGAAAAACTTAGAAAGGTAGTCCATTCTTTCTACAAATTCAGCTAATAACATTTTCATGGGCCACACTAAAACATGTGTATGGTGTATTATTTTTTCGATCCAACTCTTCACCTTCGCGATCAATTATGTCCAGACCTTTTTACTACAAGTTTGTCATTTTCAAAGTAGTTACTCGTAATTGCAATATATATAATGTTATGAAAATAGATATTCAAGTATAGGGAGATTAATGGTGAGCATTTATTATCCCATTTAACTCCATACACGTGCAACAGTTAATGTCGTTTTGATAAAAATCCTTTTCATTAAATCCTTAAAATCGGTGCCAATAGCACTTACTGAATTAAGACTAATTACAAGTGTGAACATAGTGTAAAGCATTTGCGATTCCATTTTCATTATGTTCTTTGTCTATTTAGTTATTTAATGTAAGCAGAAAGAACAAAGAAAAAACAAGTAAGAAGAAAGAAGGTAAAAGAAACAATGAAAAAAAAGAAAGTTAGGGAACACACGTAATCCGTGGTACCTTGGTTGACAAACGCCTAATAGTTTAATGACTTAAAACTTAAAACTCTTTGGTACACTCATTCGATATTCATTAAAGTTTTTTATTATTAAAAAGATATTGCTTATTTCTGTGAAAGCATTCGCAGTTTAAGAGATAAATAGAATATTCATCTTAAAAATTTGATATGTAAACATGCAAAATATGTTGGGTACAAGAACAACCAACCCCTTGTTTAGGTATACGTACACTTTTTCAACAATGCTAGAAGGAATTGCTTTAAGTTTTTCAAAGTTCTTTAATAGATAATAACAAATGCGATATATTGAACTATTGATTTCTTACTCAATGAACTAGAACAAATTGACTTAAATAGCTAGCATTTATATAAAAAGTGCTGATAAGAAGTAATAAAGTGCTGTATACCAAAATAAAGCATAAAGTACTAAAGAAGTAGCAAACTTCTTAACTAAAAATTAAAAGCAGAGTTTATATCCCTAAATATATTTTTTATGTCAAACATATTGAAAGTATTCTGACAAAATCTAGTTTCTCCTTTCAAGTCGAAAATTGCTAAATCTATTAAAACCTTAACATTTAAGATATCAATCACAGACATTATATTTTATATGTACTATCTTAACAATATTAGTATCCGCATATAATCGTAGCGATTGTAGTTCAATGGTTAAAATAGTTGGGTCTGTTATAGTTTAAATCATTAAAAAAGGCCATATGTCAGCGACAGACTACATACGAAAAAAATAACTAAAACCGGTTTTACAGTGGTATTATTGTCACGACATTAACAACATTTTATTTTGACTTCGCATAAGACATTAATGAAGCCCACAGCACTCCTTGCTGGTCTACTTTTCTGTTAAGCTTTGGTAATGTAACTATAAAAAAATAATTAATACAAGCGGATACCAAATAACATTATAATATACTTAACAGAAAAACAAATATCAGGATGTATAAGTACTATAGGAGCCATTGGGAAAGTAAGTCTTTAACTAATTGACAAACTAAGTAAGTAAGCTGGTCGACAAACTAAGTAAGATTGGTATTTTGCAATGTATCCGGACGACAGCGCAGTTATCAATATGCTAAATAATATATACATATATAGTATTATGATCTGAAATAATATTTACATAAACAGTAAAAGGTTAAATAACTCCAATTAATTCAACTTTATTTGGACCTTTACGGATATTCTAAAACTTCTCGTTTCGGCAGGGTCACAATAAACAAACACTTTATAATAAACTGCTTAATAATTTGTAATAGTATGTATAATAATATAATATAACATATAATAATAATTAATATATTTAATATGTATATATAATATATATAATATATAAATAATTTAAGATATTATCATTTAATTAAAATACAAGTACTATTTATAATTTATAGAATTGTATATATAAATTTTAAACATATGGCAATAATCTTCTAAAATAGTAATTAAATTTATCAATAAATAAAATTATTTTAATAATAAATATTAATTTCTTTCGTACTAAAATATTTTTAAAAATCTAAAACTGAAAAAAATCTGGCATACACTGATTCCTACTCAGTTTATTTAAAAATAAAAATCGAATACACCATATATTATATATTATGTATTATTTATTATATATTATGTATTAAATTTTATGTATTAAAAATTTTATAACATGTATAGCTATATATATAACTTTAGATAAAATTACAAAAAGAAATGTGCTTTAAAAATTTAAGCTTATAACATAAATTTATTTTCACATTAACATATATTAGTTTCATAATTAATATTAATATATTTAATAAACTAAAATAAAATATTTTTTTTAATAATTAAGATATAATAAATGTTTAAGATTAAAAATATATAAATTATAACAAATGTTTTAATAAATGCTAATTTTTAGCATATAATTAATTTAAATACATAATAATTTATTATAAATTATTTTTATAATTTGAAACTTATAAACATATTATAAACATAATATTATATTATTTAGCCAATTATTAAATAATATAAAAAGTAGTGAACTATATATTATAAAGTCTAATATGATTTTTATTTTATATTAGATTATAAATATCTAATTTGGATAAATATAAATAAAAAACCTTATTAAACGAAAAACATTTTTTAATTCTAAAAATTTGTTTAAAATAATATTATTACCCAAACTTTATAAATGTTCAGCCTTCAATAAGTCCAGTCTTTATAAATATTATATATTTAATAAACCCTGATAATTAAATTTACAAAATATTTATAATTTATTTATTATATATATAAATATTTTTTTTTCTTTTAGTATATAGTACAATAACTAATATTAAAATTGAAAATAAAAATGTTTATGTCGTAATGTATTGTTTTATTGACTAAATTTTATTTATATATTTTTAAACGAACTAATTGGTCAATAGAAAATAATACACGATTTTAAATTAGATTTAAAAAAATATATTTTATTTACACAAATATTTCGACTATAGTCGATAGTCACCTTCAGGTACCCTAGCATTCACCAATTAAAAATATTTTTAAAAAAATTTTCAAAAATATGTAATTAAAAATAATTAAACGAAATTTACTTATT